AGGGACTTATGGGGACCTCCTGAGTAAGGAGCTTTACTGGCTGTGCCCACGCATAAAGGGGTAGCTTTCCTTACTCAGGAAGTCTTCATGCGTTCCTGCTACATAGGCCAGGGATCCCTTCTCCAGGTCCCTCCCCAACGTGGCAGCCCTGGTCCGCCGACAGTTGGATATAACGGTTATGAAGTGTTGGCGAACAGCAGCGGCTCTAAAGCGAGCGGTTCCCCGGATGCGGTCCAGCTAATCAACCGACTCATCACGTTTACGCAGGGGCGAGTGTCCCATTTCTCGCCAACACGGGGCAAATGTGACCTGTAAAGTGCAAATCCGACTGTCCTTTGTCCAAGACCCTGAGAAGACTGCAAGAGCTACTCCAGGGCCAGCATGCGGCCGGGCATAAAGGCGTGGAGCTGCTGTAACTAGCTTGTTCTTTTTCCAAATACTTCCCTTGCCAGAGATCTACGACAAGTTTTGTCCATTTCCACGTTCTTGCTTTTGCCAACCCTCACTCTTCCACGATATCCAGCATTGCGCCGATACTCTACTTACGAGACTGTTCTTCTAAAATTTTTAAAAAAAAATCTTGCTTCCCCTTTACTGGCCAAGGAGAGCCTATAGACAAGCCTGCGAGCTAAATGTCACCACCCGCAGTAAGTGACATAAACCCAGGGTGATACAGTAGACAGGAACGTTCTTTGCTAACAGGAAACTCCTTCTCTCTTTCTCTGCTCTATCTGAAAAACAGATTAGCCCGAATTCGAGACAACCAGAGGAGATCGCGCGCCCGACGGAGAGAGTATGTCCAGGAGCTCGAACAGCGACTCAGAGTGTACGAGCTTCAGGGCAGCGAGGCCTCTGCTAAGATTCAAATGGCCGCGAGAAGAGTAGCCAAGGAGAACAAGCAGCTCCGAGAATTTCTCAACACGTACGGCTTTAGTGACAACCATATCGCCCATTTCTTGCAGTCGGGTACCTTCGTGCCACTTAATTCCGACCAAAGCCGTACTTTTCGCGCCGCCGACCCTGGGGTCGCCGTCCAGTCGCTGGAACAGCTTCTGATGCCGCGACGACCGGTCAGTCCAGATCAAGGCTTCTTCGTCTCTTCGTCGAGACAATCATGCCGGGAGCCATCCACCACCAGCGGGTCGACCACAAGTTCGTCCGTCTGGGAGCCACCGCAACTCGCGACGTCCTCGTACGGCTATCAACATCGCATGGGCGTGGCAGTCATGGGCTCGGCGGTTCATCCCCCATTCCCACTGACAACCCTGTCGAGTCACGCGAGTACCATGTGGCAAGACCGAGTTTGTGACGGACCACCGTCTCCGTCGATATTCGACAGTTCCGGCCAGCCCATGGCCACGGCACAGGCTACGGTCATAGGCGATCATCCCGCAATGAACTTGCATTGTTCTCTACCAAAATATTCAGACTCGACGATACCACATTACGATTCCCCAGAGTGTACCCGGTCCCAGAGGGATGGTTCAACAATGAAATGATTGACGAGACAGATCGACATCTGGTACCGCTGTCGAGGATGGCTGAATGACTTGCCTACCTGCAGCTCCACCGCGTTCTTCAGGTACTTGAGCCAATCGTGGGACTTCAGAGGAGGAGAAAACAGATAGATCGCTATTATGGTCAGGGAAACTCTTCTACTGTTCTCGAGATCTACTCGATGCATGTTAGACCATAGCACTGTAAGCATGCTGCTGCCGTTCGAGCTTCGATGTCCTCATCGTTTTTACCAGTCTCATATCCCGGCATGTGATTCAGCTTTTCGAGACTGAGGCAGATAGGAGGTTCGACTTGATGCCAATTTGCAATCTCACACTCAAGGCCCCCGTACGTAATTGCCTTTTGCTGGTCGTCAGGTCAAAAGCGGACCGATGTCGCAAAATGACTGATCTTTGTGAGGATAAACATGACCTTAGACCGTGAGCTGCGAAGTTGGTCGATTCGGAAGTGGTAACAAAACTTGGGACGCCTAGGTTGTATTCCCATCCGCCCAGCCCACTTCTCCCAGTAGTCGCCATTGATGAGGGGTCGCTTGCCCCTTGCTCAGGAGACCGCAACGTCGAGATAGGATATCATGGAAACCGGGAACCGACGTAATGGAACCGAATCGCTTTCGCCGAGTCTATATGCGTTGTGGCTTCTCGAAGAGGAGGTACGACTGGCTCTGCACCTACTTTGCCACGATCTGTTTCCCTACTCCCATATGTTGGGGTCGATTCGCACACCACACTAGGAAACGGACTTGGTTGCTCAGCGTCGCCTAGGCCTTGGAAGCTCCGGACGCTCCATGTGATGTAATGCACACTTTTGAATGGGACCTCAAGTCGTGTTCACCAATGTATGCTAGACATACATAGTATCGACCGCAATCGGGCTTTTGTTGCTCCATGATAGATGGCGCTACTGCATATGGGAATTCCAACCTCTGCTGCTCTTGTGTCACTCCGGATGCAAAGGCTTCTTGCTGTTTGTTGTGAAATGCAGGGATTCTGCTCGGCTCACTGCCTTCACCCTGGCCCGACAATTTGCAGTCGTATTCAAGGGCAGTGACGAGGAGCCCTTCCGCGTAGTCGGCCAAGTCAAAGGCTCGGTCATCCTCAGTACGAGGGCTAGCTTCATCGGCCATTGATGAGCACTAGTGCAGGAGACGGCTGAGAGATGGTGTAGTTAAGAGATTTCAAGACTGGCGAAGGGTTGACGTGGGTGACATGGACTAGGCAGCCTGAGTCGGAGACAGGCTTGGACTTTATAGTGCCTGGTCTTTCACCACAAGGCTGGAGTCTGAGGCAAACAGTATAGCCAACACGTATCTTAAGGGGGAGATGGCCGACGGGAATGCTAATCATGTTTGGGAGCCGGCAGGCACACCATGCGTGCCGCCCGTGCGGATGTCACTTGACTCCGAATGCTTACTGGCTGCAGCACCATGGAGGCTTTACACCAGATCAATGTGCAGCGGGCCAGCAATTGTTGTCAGAGACTTGTGTTCGTTTCGTGTCACTCTTGACTACTCGTCCGACCTTGCACCTGGGCGGGATTTGCTACATGCCACTATAAACTTTTGAACTAGTTGAGCCCTTTCGACGACTGCGCGGTTTCTGGCAGTAGTTCCAGTTCCTCATGGCGCTGAGTCCCGCAGTGTAAAATTGGGGGTAGTCATACCAAATATCGTACGGCATAAACTAGGGCATAGTTAACCTCTCGAGCTGCCACGGCTCCTCACCACTACTTAACACCTTCAAAGCGTAGTGCTGAGACCCGATCTCAACCTTGAAAACGTGTGCCGTGATCTCAGAGTAGCCAGAATATGGTTCCAAGTGGTCATCGAGCATATCTTTCCAGGTGATCGATGCGTTGGCGAGTGCAGAGAGATGCAACATCGGGCCATGACAAGGCGGAAGACCGTCTGGAATGTTCACGTCCTCGTCGAATAGACCATCGGCACATCGAGAGGTGCCTGTAGTCTTCCCGGGAGCGCTGATTCGAGAAGATTTGCTCCGCGTCCGCTTTGCCTTTCTCCCGTCGTTTTGTTGTCGCCGGCATTGTCGTACCATGTTGTCATATTTTGCTCAAAAATAGAGCACACAGTGAAGTGAGATTTGGAAATAACGGAGGCGGGAAATGAAGCCTGTGATCGATGGCGAGTAGATGAGAACAGAGCTGGCGAGGCAATACTTCCAGATATTGAGAGAACCGCGGTTGTATTGCTGTGCGCCGTCGACGGGTGGTCAGGGCTGGCTGGATGATTGAGGTAACCAACAACTCCAACCGTTATGCCCAGTTATTGTCCCAAATGTAACGCATATCTCATTGAGGTACTAATTCTTACTCCCGGAGTTATTGTGCCGACAACGGCAACCTGGTTCCCGTCGCAGCCATCCTTCCCTGTCAATTTCGCCTTCCCCGGCCTCTTTACACGTATCTTCTCATCCAGCCGTGCAGGATAAATCTCGCCGATGCTACAGGCTAGAGCAACAAGGCAATATGAGGTGCACCAAGTGGCCAGAATCCAGCGTCATCGTCTAGCACCTCTCCCACGCCCCCTCCATTGCAAACTTTCTCCTTACATCCCCTTCTCCCCGGCGTGAAATATTCCAGCCAACGACACAGGGAGCGGGTAGCTACGCCACCTCTGGCCCAAGTTGAGACCACCCCTCAGGCTGCCCTCTAGCCGTCCCGGCTTCCCCGGGCACAACCCTGAGGCCGACTTTCCCTTCCTACGAATCGTCTCTGAGACGCGCCCGACCATGCCTTGCAGATTGGAGACGCAATGTGGCCACTATGTCGTGAAACTACCTGCACTCTGTTCACCGACTTGACACGCTTCTTGAAGCTGTTAATCTCGAGGTGAGCATCCCGCCCCTTGCCGCGATGACCCCCTCTCTGCAAGTTACGTCACCTCCCGTTACTTCCAATATATATATATATATATATTGCCCTGCTTCGGGGTAAGTTGGCCATACTTTGGGTCAAGACGAGGGAAGAGAAATTAACGGACAAAGTCCTGCCTCACGTCCTCTTCCTGAACCCCGGCTCAGGGAGGCTGCGGACTAGCCTGCACGATTCAGTTCGCCCCCTGCGCCTACAAGGAAGTTGGCTACTTACGACTCTGCTGAATTGGCGAATTTATCGGCGTATAGATGCAGAAGCTGAAGATTTCTTGGTCAAAGATGCATACACCATCTCAGGGGTGGCCGGCAGGCATCGGCGAAGCAACAGCGGACCACAGCCCGGAAGAAGAGGATGACGCATGATCCCACCCGACGATATGTGCAATGAGACGGCCAAAGCTGCACCTTGGGATTCTCGGGATGATTTGCTGGAGCTCTCGTACCGACCAAGGCAGCTCATCCCATGCCCGATTAGATTTGAAGCAGCGTAGGCGCCAACCCTCCTTTGTCTTTGTTCACATATTTCTCCTTTTCTTTCAACTCTCTGAAAGCCAACAAACGCCGAACGATCTCGAGGCCCTTCTGCCCGCTATGACAACTGAATCTCCCTCGACAATACAGGGGGATATGAGTTCCTTTGCCGCTGAATCGATTGCCCTTGGACAAACTGGTCATCTCCGTGATCTCGATATGCTTCTACGTCCTGCCTCGCCAACCTCGGAGGTTTGGAACTCCGAAAGTCAATACAACGACGCATGCCGTCGCAAAAAATATACGCCAGACGAGACTGCAGAGTCACCTACAGTAAAGGCACAGACTGTGTTCGCACCTAGCAATCTTGATGGGAGTGGTTACTTTTCCTCTCGCGACGATGACAAGGAGAATTGTCCTCCTGGACTTGTATTTCAGGTCGCGGTATCCGATACTTGCCATCGAGTAGAGGCCAACGGTACCATCGATAGCGGACACGACCAACAGGTCGAAATGGAATTCGGCTTCCCTGTTCGCATGCCTGTTAAAGTTACCATTCAGCTTTCCCAGTGTTCTCCGCCGAGCTCGTCACGAAATACCAGGCAACGCGACCAGAGGAACCATGACGGAAACTCCGAGATCCGAACATCCGAGCGACGACGGCAAACCTCCGGACCAGGGCACAAGCGGCAGCGGATTTACAACATCAGGAGGAACAAGCGACCGGTCATGGAAGAGTGTTGAATTTTATTTCTTTACCAGCCCTTAGAATGGTAGTGGTCCCTAGATGCCTCCTCCCCCAAGAAACATTTGGTCCAGAAGCTGGCCTTTGCATCCTCGCTTGCCCTCATACGAGATTTGTCGGGAAATTGCCTATCGTGACCGAAGCTTGGGAGGTGTGTCGATGATCCAAGACGGCATCGGTCGTGAATGCCCTCTACTGCGCACCTTCGCGTCCCGCTTCCGAGTATAGAAGGATTACTTTAAGTGTCTGTATCAACCTGGGCGCGGTATCCGCCTGTGCAGGGTGGCAAACCACTCAATCAACTCAACCAAAGAGTCAAATTGAGTAGATTGACGGCTTACATCAGCGAACCTCTCGTTGAGTTGAGCAATCCAAGCCCTCGTTGAATTGATTGCGTTGATTGATGGAGTTGATGCCCTACCCTACCTATTAGTAAGCTACTTAAGGTCCTCAACACCATCAACTTCTCGTCCTTCGTGGGGCACCTCTTCGGGAAGACATCGTCATCGACTGAAGCATCAATAATCCCCTGGTAGTCGGGTATTAGCCCTGCCTTCAGCCAAGACCGAATTGCCTGGCCTGCATTGATCGTGTTAGCCTGAAGCCGGCTGCGTAGTCGTGTGACCATTAGCCCAGCAAATGAGAACGCCCTCTCGCACTCTGCTGACATTGGCGGTATAGATAGCATATCAAAGGCCATTCGAGCAAGTCTGGGATACGTTGACTCTTTGAGTTGCCAGTATTGGAACGGATCCGTGATGTCTCCGTCATCTGCGCCGATATCAACAGTCCAGCGATCGAATTCATCGGCAGTAGGTGGCCCACGACGGGTTGTGGCCGTCTGACCAGCTTGTAGCCGGTGCCTCAGTCGGAACTGTTGGAACTCGTTCAAGTCGTCAACCTTTCGACGTTTAACCATCGGAATAGCCTCGTCATCGCTGAGAATTAATGACTTATAGTCGCGTTCCCAGATGCCCCGAACAATCCGTCGTGCCTCAAGGACCCATTCAGGTCGATGAGCCCAAGCCTCCTCAAACCATTGCAGTCGCAAGGCGGGATGGAGAGCGACTGCAGCATAATATACCGGGCACTCAACCAACTTGATATAGTATTTCTCCAACTTCTTCCACCCCAATTCGACGTTTATCGCGAAATGCTCGGAATCAGGCACATCCTTGGCGAATTCCTTTGCCTCTTCCAATCGTTCAAGGAGATATTCGAATGCTTGGATAATATCCCATGCTGTTCCGTATGCCACGAGGTTGCCGCCCTTACGCACCCGAATCTGGGCATCTCCTCGAGGGCCTTGATGGCATTTTCGAAGTGCTTAAGAATATTCCGAAAGTGGCTGATCACTGTCCAGTCGTTACCGGTCAGCAGGTCAGAATCTCGAGGCATGCAGGCATGTCTTTCTTCTTTGACCTGCTTCGGGTATATTCGAACTGTTCCAATGCGACGAGGTCGTCAAGAAAGTCGTGCAGTAGAAGGGCTCGATCCATCATCTTATAATGGGACAACCATCGTGTCATGTTATCCGTTAGAACGTCAACTGGTTTCTTCGTACTGTCCTCTTGCGTTGTAGATCCCGAAGCATGTACGTTAACCTATCCGATTGATGAATCCAGTGGACAAGGTTGTGGAGCTTGCCAATAGGCCCCCTCTTCCGCCAGAGATCATGTCGAGCAAGGTCCAGGTCGAGTCGCTCTTCTGATTTGAAGACTTCATTATCTTTGCCAAAGAGCAGCGCTTTGGCCACGAGATTGATGATATGCCCAAAGCAGCGGACCCGTCTCTGCTCCCCTAAAAAATAAAAACCGTGTCCCAGTGCTGCTACCGCCGTATCGTTATTCTTCGCATTGTCAAGCGTGAAATACCCGATCTTGTCTTGAATCTCGAATGATTCGATCACTTCCGCCACCTGCGACGCTATATTCTCGCCAGTATGAGACTCTCGGAGTTCAGGAGCCCAAGGATGATCTTCTGGCCGCTTTTCCTTAGAGAGATAGAACGCAGCAATCCCATTAAGCGCATAGCGATTGGGCGATCTCCAGCCGTCAAACGCAAGGTGTATCTGCCCGGGGCGCTCCCTCAGTTCCTTTATCACAATATGCTTGTACTGGTGGTATTCTTGGAAAAGCTTCGTTCGAATAGTCGAGTGTGTCATGTGGGCTTGAGTCAGGGCGATCGAGGGATTGAGGTATTCGAGAAGACGCCGGAATCGAGGGGCTTCAACTGCGCGGAAGGCAACATTCGACTCGGTGATCCAAGCAAGCAAGAGAGATTGGAAGACATCTTTATCGAATTGGTTTTTTAGCTTGTTAATGAATGCTTGCTCCTTCTGGTCATTGGCATCGAGGTTGAAGAATTGGGCAATAGAACGCTTGTTGGTTGTAGAACCTTCGGTAACCGTCTACCTGATGGGTCAATAACATTGTGAGCATCATGTAGATGGCGCTCAATGTTTAGGGTCCCTTTGCCGCGAAGCTCACGGGTCCCTTCGGCGATTTCTTCGGTAAACACCGCTCACAGACCCAGAGGCGATTATCTACGTTAGCTTGATGTTCAATGTCGAACCCAAAGCTCCAGATCCACGATTTGAGCTTGCCGGCGCGTTGAGACTTGGTATAGCCGCGGAAGTGATGCCAGGGAAGGCATCCCACTCGAGATGGGGAACGGGGCCTGAGTCGCCTGAATCGCCTGATGGCGGCAAGGGAGAAGAAGGCTCAGGAGATTCGCTCATTGCATATAGGAATGTTTAGATCAGCCAAGGCGTTGTGGAAGAATCGAGAAGTGTAAGTGGAACTGAGGCGAGAGATTGAACTTTGTTGTGAAGCGCGTCGATGCGCGCAGCGCGTCGACTCTTCCAACGGAACAGGGGGCCCTGTTCCCCGAAGAGGAGAGCAGGCTTACCTACAACGGGCCTGAGTAACCTGTAAGGTTAGTGGTAGCTATATACCCAATCCGTACCTACATTTCGCCTTGGCCACCTACCCTACAGGATCCCTGACCGTCAACGGCAATCTCATCAATCCATCAATCAACGGGAGCATGAATTGAATTGACAAGCTTATTCAGCAGACACTCGATTGAGTTGATTGAGTTGACGGTTGCTCAACTATATTGAGCAACCGTTGCTGGGATTGAGTGGTTTGCCACCCTGCGCCTGTGGTCCAAATTGGGGACGCTCAAGCTGAAGGAAGTCGTATGGAGAGGGTGGACAGTAATGTAAATTATCGTCGCTTTGAATCAGTGCCTTCGGATATCAGGTGCTCCGTCGACCGTTTAGTGCCAGGATTTATCACTACCGACAGCTGCACCATTCTCTCCCTCCGTTTCCTCCGGTGCTCTTTAATCATACTGTCCAGAGGTGCTGCTGGTACAGCCACAATCACCAGACAAAGTCCACACTGACCTCCGAACTGGTGCCTCACCCAACCAGTTGCAGAACATACTAGGAGTACAAGTGATGCGAGGAATACCAATCCGCTGACTGCTCCAAGCCATGGCAACCCCTGGTTTGAAGGCGGCTGTTCTGGTTGAGGCTGGTTAGAGCGCTGGTCAAAATGACGGGAACACTTTATCTTCCTAGAAATCGCTAGAACCATAATAGCGGTGGTCAAATGCGACACCATTGGAGCAGCCCACCAGTATTCGACACCAGATTGCCTCAGTTGCCAGACGGTCACCCCAACAAAGGGAAGGTGGAAGATCATTATTAGTCCAAAAATGATAATTCTTGCCTTGATACAGGGATCAGTCTCGACGGAGCGAGAAAACAAGACGTATATCAAGATGTCGACGACTTGAATAAGCTGTAAATCATGATTCATGAGTATACCGGTAAAATAACCAAATATGCCTGAATGGGGCAATTACCTCGATAATGTCAACGCATAATAAGATCAATCCTTTCCAAGCCATGAAGAAGGGGTAGGCAAGGTTGTCTGGTAGGTGTGCATTTCTCGCGCTGCCAAACAACGCGGCGAATATTAGACCAGTAACCAAGAAGAGACAGGCAGTAGAGATCAACGCCCAAGTTCGCCTACTTGAGGCTTTTTGTGGCTTGACTCTGATCATCCAGTATAGGTAAGGGACCAGAAAGACCGTGGTCACGGTAAACATGACAGCTGTCTCGGTGACCTCATCAGCGGTGATCTTGACCTGCATGTCGAAGTGCGTTGACCTTCAACGACAAAGAGAGCAGGGCCACGGAGTTGAATTAGCGAGAAGACATGAGAGGGCCGGATTTTCCCTGAGTGAGACATGATTATATAGACGTTCAAGTCATGCTGGTGAGCATTATCCATATTTGTGAATGCTTGATTCGTGGCAGGTAGCGGGTTGAAATGCCGAAATTATAACCACATCGCCTTCATACACCTCGATGATTGGCGCTTGTCACTACGGTATGTAATTGGTTAGAAGCGCATCCATCCCGTAATTGACAAAGTTCAGTGGATTGACAAGCGGCCAGGTCTGCCTGAGGAAGGGGTGAGGTGCTTCGTGCATGACAAGGTTACAGTACAGTACACCATCAATAGTGCTTCGGGAATAAATCTAGCCAAAATCGCATACAGGTCTGAGGCCCTGCTCCGTGCGGCTCCATGGCCTTACCACTAGGTCGTTATTCCTAACCAATTAGTTCCTGGAGATGTTTGGATACGGAATTCCGCTGTGTGAAGTTGTGAACGCTTCCGTCGTGTGAAAGGCTGGCCCGGAGTTTATTCAACAAGCAGGTGCCTAGGTGTTGTCTATCTAGAGCTAAGGAGGAAAGGAAGCTGAACTCGAGGCGTAGCCTCGAGTGCGAGCTTATATTGCCCTTCACGGAATGTTCTCGCAGATTCCGGGTCCGCGGAGCGGGGCCGGTGTTGCCACCGGAGCACGACCCACCGGACCCGGTACAACCGGGTCCACCAGCCGGGCATAGCCCGTGACATTACCCCCCTTCTCCCCTCCGACCAGGTCGGCGTCTGCGCGTTCCTGCCAGCGTCTCGTACCTCTCCCTAGGGCCATCATTGGTCTTGATTGGCCCGTACTTGTCCTCGAATGCCTTCATCGCAATTGTTCCTTGCAACCACTCAACTGGCTCCCAAGTCGGCTCTGCGTAGCCCGTCCATCGCACTAGTGCTTACCTGAATTCCCCTCGTCCGCGCTTCTTCCATCTCGCGCAGAGAATCTCGTCGACATCCCACAGATCCGTGCCGGACTCATCTTGTACCGGTGGTGGCTGTGCGTCATCTACCTTTTGGCCAGGAGCCGGATCTTGATGCGCCCGCCGCAAAAGGTCAACATGAAATCGCGGGTAAATTGAGCCACGAACATCGAGCTCAACGACGTGCGAACTAATTACCTTCGTGACTGTGTACTTGTGATGCAGCCAGTCGAGCTTCTTGCACGGTCGTGGCGATCTGTAGTTTGCCATCGAGAGCCACACCTTGTCACCAACTTCAAATCGCTCCGCAGGCTGTCGCTTTGCGTTGGCAGCCTCTTCTTGTTGTTGCTGTGAGGAGGCCATCACTGCTTGCATGTACTCATTGACCTCCTGCAGGCGACTGAGTAGGCTATCAGCTCTGCTTTCTTCTCTATGCCTCGGTGGCTCTTCCGATTCCTCGACGCTGATGGGAGCGACGTGGTAACCATGCTCAGCGAAAAGGGGCTGATCTTGGTTGCTGCGGATTCACGATTGTTGAGTGCCAGCTGCGCGGCAGGGAGCAGTTCTCCCCAGTCGTCCTGCACGTACGACACGTAGGCTCTCAGGTAGGCCTCGACCTCCTGGTTCATTCTCTCTGGTCCTCCGTCCGTCTGAGGATGATAGGCCGTGCTCAATTTCTGCGTGACACCTGCAAGACGACAGAACCTCTTCCAGAACCTACTTAGCCAGTTGCTCCCGCGGTCGCTGACGATGGACCGTGGCATTCCGTGAAATCGGTAGTGACACTGGAGAAAACGGTTTGCACACGGCTCAGCTTCCATGTTGTCCATCACCTCGAGGGTCACAGCCTTTGTCAGTCTGTCCACAATCACCCACAGGTACCTTGCCTTGCTCGGTCCAGTAGGCGGCAGATCTGTGATGAAGTCCATGGACAAATGGCTCCGGGTCGATCTGGAATCGGCAGAGGCTTGAGAAATCCCCTTTTCGACTGGCGCCAGATGTGTGCTCTGCCGCAGGTGTCGCAATTGGCTACGAACCGGCGAACAAGCTGGGACTGTCCAGGCCAGTAGAATCGCCGAGCCACAATAGCCAGCGTACCTTCCCTGCCGGGATGACCGGTCGCAACAGAGTCGTGCGACTGCTGCACAATGCGGGTTCTCAACTGGTCTTTCTCAGCTTCCTCCTGGTTACCCTCCTCTCCGGATCCACCCGGCACCCAAATACGGTCTCTGAATGTCAGCCTTTGCCTGCGTCGATCGCACATTCTGAAATCTGGATCTTCAGGCCCAGCGAGGGCGGGAAGGCACGCTCGCGATCGCGGACTGCCATAGGCTGCCCCGAATATCGAGTCCTTCGCCACCGTTTCGTCCCAGAGTTGCTGCAGGTCCGCTTCCTCGAAGACCTTCATCTCCGGCAGGGTGGATGCCTCTGAACAGTCAGAACCCATCGCGTTAATACATGCTCTTGTCGATGATGGAATGGCACTATCCGGTATCAACTGTATCATTCTTCCTTGTTCCCGCTCGTCGTCAATGCCATGTGGCTTGTCTTGTTCACGGCGGGACAATGCATCGGGCACGACAGCCTCGCTGCCCGGTCGATACTCGAGCTTGAAGTCGAACTGGGACAATTCGGCTGCCCAACGGCTCTGCCGTTCCGTGAGCTTCTGGCGTGTCATGAAATACTCCAGGTTGCGGTGGTCGGTAAGGATTGTAAATGGGCCGCAGCTCCTAAGTTCGGCGTTCCAGTTGTCGAGACATCTCATGATGGCAAGCATCTCCTTGTCGTGAATGGGATAGTTGTACTCCGCTGGCGAAAGTCGCTTCGAGAAGAAGGCGCATGCGTGTCGACGCCCATCTGGGCCTTCCTGCGACAGGACGCCTCCCAATGCGTAGCCTGAGCAATCCGTCTCCAAAAAGGTCGGGAGGCTCGGGTCCCACTGCTTGAGCACCGGTGACTCGCAAAATCGTCGCTTCAGCTCCTGAAACGCCTCGTTCTCCGCTCGTCCCCAACGAAAGGCAGTTCCTTTCTTAAGCAGGGCATCCAGAGACTGCGTGATCTTGGCATAGTCGGGGATGAAGATCCGGTAATAGTTGGCGAAGCCCAGAAAGCTTCTGACACCCTTCACCGTGGTCGGGGCCTCCCATTCGCGGATGGCGCGCTGCTTTTCGGGGTCGCAGGCGATTCCTTTCCTGCGTTGACGATGAACCAAGGTACTTGACCTCTTGTACCGAAAACTCGCACTTCGCTGGGTCTAGGTGCAGCCCAGCGTCGGCGAGTGCTTGGAGAACTCGTCGCACCTTAGCCTCATGATCCGCCTTCGAACCGCTCGAGTAGATCAGTACATCATCCAGGTACGCTGTGACAAAGTCGTCCAGCCATTCGCGCAACACACTGTTCATGTATCGTTGGAATGATGCCGGGGCGCCGCTCAGGCCGAAAGGGCACACGAGCCACTCGTAGAGCCCAAACCTCGTGCGAAATGCGGTCTTTCCCTCATGTCCCGGAGCCATGCGGATCTTATGGAAAGCGGCCACCACGTCCAACTTGGTGAGCCACTTAGCCTTGGCCAGATTCTGCAGGGTCTCCGCGATGAGGGGCAGTGGGTATCGGTCGCGCTTGGTGATTGCATTCAGCGCTCGGTAGTCGCAACAAAATCGCAGCCCTCCATTCGGCTTCCGCACAAACAGCACCGGCGCGGCAGCCGCTGAGCTACTCGCTCGGATGAATCCTCTGTCCAGCAGGTCTTTCAGAGTCTTTCGCAAGACCAACAGCTCTTCTCGTGACATGTTGTAGAGTGGGCCCCACGGTAGGGGTGGCTCGTTGCCGTTCTTGTCAGGCTGCAGGTTGACTTCATGATCCACACCCGGTCGATGTGGCGGCAGCTTCATTGCCTCTTCTGGTGAGAATAGGTCGCGGAATTCTTTCAGCACTTCTGCCGGGACCTTCTCGCTCGGATCGACTGGCGGCTTCGGCTGAAGCGCCCTCTATATCCGACAAACTGATTGCATGAATCGAGATCGCGTTGCACTTCTTGCGTCTCTTTGCGCGTCGACACTCCGCCGTGAATACGGCTGCCGACACGAGTCTTGCGCTTCGAATCGCGCGTATCTTGGCGGGCTCTTCCTGCCCAATGAGGCGTATCGTCACACCTGCCCTCCCATGGTACATTCGCTGCTTGGCAGCATCGTACACGACGTGATTTCTCTCCATCCAAGGCCGGCCGAGGAACATGTCCTGGCCCAGGCTTGGGATCACGTATGCAAAGACACGTTCGTCAAATCCAGCTGTTTCGACCACAACAGCCACGACCCTGGGGATATGACACTCTTCGCTGACTCTGAGAATCCTCAATTTCTCGTGGTTTCGAGCCGACGAAGGGTATCCGCAGCTTCCGAACAAGGGCTTCGTCGATCACGGCATAGCAGTCACATCCACAGTCGACAAGGGCGCGTATTCGATAGCCTTGGTTTACCCGCGCGTTGACTAGTACAGTCCGACTATTCATTCGTGGCTTGAACGCTTCCCAGTCCCGGATGTCTGCCTTTGCAGGCCCCGGCGCCCGCTTTCGCCCGGGGCTAGTCTTTTCCCGCCGACTCGTCCTCACTGGATGCTGCGGTTGATTCCGAATCATCTGCGGCATCGGGTTTCTTCATGCGCGCAGCTTTAGGTCGCTGTTGCTTCCCTTCGCCAGGAAAGACCACCTGGGCTGGGCAGTCCACGATAAGGTGATCCGTCCGACCACAGCGATAGCAGCGGCGCTCATCCTTCGGCTTCTTATCGACATGTCGACGACCCTTCGACTCGTGGCCAATACGGTTGATGTCCGTCATCTTAACATCTCCGTCGGGGTCCTCCGGTTCCTCCTTGGGTCGTTGCCTTGGTAGCTGTTGAGGCGTCCGCTCAGTCGACGTCGGCTGCCTACCGGGTTTCAGTCTCTCCAATCTGCCCGCAATTTCCTGAACTCGCAAGCCATCCCTGGTAGTCGTCGGTAGGACAGCTGTGACCAAACTCTCTTGGAGGCGTGCATTTATTGCGTTCTCTAGAAATACGATCTTTGCACTGTCCGGCCAGTCTGCTCCCCGGCTTCAGCTAATGCCTGTTCGAATCGGGGAAGGAAGGACGCGAGAGGTTGGTCTCGCGCTGCCGCATAGTTCTCAGCGCAGCAGCGCGGGATTGGATGTTGCTGTCCTGGTAGGTTCGGTCGAGGTATCGCATGAACTCTTGGGGTCGTAGCTACCCCAGGGCCTCCCGCGGCGTAAAAGGTAGCGACCACTTGCTGTGGTCGCTCGTCCAAACATGAGTTGATGTGGTACCAAAGTCCGCGATTTCCACTGTAGTAGTGTGCATCAAGGTCCAGCTTGTCTCGCATCTGCCTGGCCCAGGCGGAGTAGCTCTTCCGTGAGCCGTCATACTTGGGTGGGTTGGGCAACGGTTTCCGCGTTCCAGTACCGCAGGTTTTGGGAGGGCGTGCCCAAGCCAGGCGTGCTCGCCCAATCCTCGTGCCACTGGCGGCGATTGCAAGTCGGCGCTCTGCGGCTGCGCTCGCCCGAGTTGCTCCATCAGCAAGGAAAGTTGGTCCTGTAGAGGGCTGAGAGTCGCATTGACCGCTTCTTGAATGCGTTGGTCAATCCATTGCTGCTGGAGACTTGGGCTCACTCTGCTGGTCCATCCTTACGAGCAGTCTGCAGCTTGCGGTGTTTAGAAGGAGCTCTAGATATGTGAAAGGCTGGCCCGGAGTTTATTCAACAAGCAGGTGCCTAGGTGTTGTCTATCTAGAGCTAAGGAGGAAAGGAAGCTGAACTCGAGGCGTAGCCTCGAGTGCGAGCTTATATTGCCCTTCACGGAATGTTCTCGCAGATTCCGGGTCCGCGGAGCGGGGCCGGTGTTGCCACCGGAGCACGACCCACCGGACCCGGTACAACCGGGTCCACCAGCCGGGCATAGCCCGTGACACGTCGTTCGGTTTGGCTCTGCCCTCGGTCAATGACTGGCCAACCTGTACATCATCAGGTGACAGGTTCTCGTGTGGATCCCATCCGCCGATAATTCATGGTAGTAATTTGACGGCCAGTCTTGAACCGTTGATGGCACTACACATTCGCGGTAGTCCCAGTTTAACAGCACGGCGGTGCCACTATCCATGCCATTTTTGACTGTGGTTCGAGAGGAATGTTCATCGGACACATCCCTTGTACATGCGATGACCGCTCAGGGCGGCGTAGTGACGTCGTGATCCTAGGGATCTGCTACTTACAGAGAGTACGTTTGTGTGCCCCTTTCCCTGTGCGACTATGTAACCTATGTTGACGCGTTGACATGAACCTTCCACATTCGGTTGAGGACACATTGTTGTGACACCTATCCTCGCTTGACTTAGGTTGTGGCTCACGTTACCACCTCAGCCCCATACGTTTTGCGTAAAGGCCCTTGGGGGATCTCCTCCAGGGTTGATACATTCATGCATCAGCCCGGGTGGTCGAGACAATGGCGAGGAGGCGTAATCAGCTAGGCCAAGCGAGGATAGGTGTCACAACAATGTTGTCCTCAACCGAATATGGAAGGTTCATGTCAACGCGTCAACATAGGTTACATAGTCGCACAGGGAAAGGGGCACAAAAACGTACTCGGCAGTAAGCAGATCACAATTCACGTAATATCCATACACGAATTTTTAGTTAGCAGGAGTGGCATCCCTCCCCTCTCCTTTTATTGCACGTTACGAGCGCCTGATGCCAAATGTTGAAGTAATACAAGTGCCAATGTAGGTCGTCTCACTGAATCTTGGAAAAGTATATAAGCATCAAAAGCCGTCTCAAATAGGCCAGCAATCACCACTGCGTTTTCCTCGCCATAAAGTATTTCGAAGAAGCTCAAACCAAGGTTCAGAATGTACGTCCCAGTGCACCTACTTCGTGACTTGTCCAAAGCCAGAATTGCTGAATCCTACCCTAACGAAAGCAGAGCAATGGCTTGTTGCGATATTGAGCCACTCGTCAATGCGTGTCAGTGGATCACGAAGTACCGCAAGGATGGGTCGTCTTACAGGGCGAAAGTATCGGACTGTGGACAGACGCGTTGCAAATGGTCCAGCAGCTATATCCCACCACAGCAGTGAAAGCGCGAGCAAGGTGCTCGTGTCCTAGCTGACAACCCATACTCTCAACGTATCGATTCGCATTGAGGAACTGCTAAGGACAAGGGAGGACTCGACGGAGAAGGAGTGGGGCTTTGAGTGTTGTCTCTTAGGCCTGAAAAATTGAAAGCTTTTTATCGGCTTTCCTCAGGGCCGCTCGTATCTTCGAGAGGCTATAGAGATCGTTCTCTCGCCTTGCGTAGTCCTCGCCATCCAGTGTCCATCCATCAGTGCCTGCCTTAGATCCCAGTTCATCTCCTTCTCGCTTGCATGAATCAAAGTCAATAATTATAGGATTATCTCCATCCATCATGATGTTTGACGGGTTGAGATCATTGTGCACAAGCCCCAAGTTATGCATATGACGAACACCTGCTTCAATCCCATGCAGACAACGAGCCATGTTAAAAGGTGTCCCATCTTTTAATATCTGCGAGAGAGTCAAAGAGTGCTTGGCAAAGCCAAGCCCTGTTATCCTACCGTCCTTAACAATGCAGCCCAGGTATTGCACAATGTTGGGATGTGGGTGCATTCTTAGGACCTCGCACGCTTCCACCTCAGTCAGGATCTGATGGGCGAAATAAAAATTATCAAAACAACTTTCATAATATAGAAGCCTAGGTCGTTTGAGGTAGGAGGTGGAAGGTAGAGGGTCGGGAGCTCGAGTGAACTCGGGATTAGCTAAAGGCCAGACATGGTCCGCAGGTATTCTGGTCGTATCTAGCTCATTGACGTCTATCTTCGAGGAACTGAATATGCGTTGGTGGGTTTTGGCGTAGAAGTATTCGCTGTTGGCTCCTTGTAGGATGATCTTTGTGTGATCAAAAATGATGTCGTTGTGGACAGGCTCTTCACTGCAGTGAGGTTATTCGAACTGGTTCAATTGGTTATATCTTGTGTAACTAGGGAAACGTGTCCCATACAAACTGTGTGCAAAGACCTTCCTCCCTGTGTCTCACCTCTTACTCGCACGTGACTAGCGCGGTCGATTAGTTATACGTGCGCGATCGGTGCCTAGTGCACAGGTGGATCCAACACTGGAACCTCTTTCTAAATCGATGATCGCGCACTAATCAATCCACCAAAAACACACCAAACACAGCGAATTAAGATGAGATAGGAAAACACGAACAAGAACACCAACAAACTCCTACCACGATGCATCACTATGTTGGATAGTGTGCTCTGACTGTAGCTCTCCTCCCCACACTGGGTGTGTTCTGCCACACGCCATCATGGGCCGCATTTCGAGCGCCGGATGCGCTAGCTGATTCCATCGGTCCCACGTTGAATATGGACACGAGGATCTCCTCGTTAATGTGAATGGAATAAAAGAACGACGGTAAAGCAGAAGAAGGGAACGAAAAACCGATTAAATCTCGTCGAGAATTGTTGTGTTATTGCGATGAACGAATCCTTCCACCCTCACGTTTAGCTGATTGTCGCTAATAAACTGCGTGAGGGCGCTGTTTGGTGATGCCTTCGTCATAGCATCGGCAGGGTTATCTGCGCCGTTGACCCAACGGATTTCCGCAATATCCCTTGATTCATATGCCTGCCTCAGCGCCATGATATCTATCATGAGTCGCTTCTCTGTTGTGGTGCCAAGTTTGACGAGGCACTCATAGAGGCTATATGAATCTGTGCAAATGACGAGCGGGATTTGCTTCAGATCAAGGCGTTGTGCGATCGTATTGACCGTTTGCTTGATCACAAATGCGAGATCGAAGCCCGATGTCAATCCATAGATCTCTG